AGGTATGTAATACAGTATTATCAACTGTAGTCACCATAATATTCATTAGATCTCTCATCTTATAACTGAAAGTTTGTACCCTTTGGCCAACATCTCCCCTTTTCTCCTGGTCACCATTCTTTCCACTCTCTGCTTCTAAGTTTGACTTTTTCAGAACCACATGTAAGTGGGATCATGCAGTATTTGTCTCTCTGTGTTTGGCTTTATTCTACTTAGCGTAATGTCCTCCAGGTTCATTATGTTGATGCAAATGTCAGGATTTCTTCTTTTTTAAGGTTTAATAATATTTCATTGTACGTATGCACCACATTTTCATTACCCGTTCATCCATCAACAGACACTGAGGTTGTTTCCATATCTTGTCTACTATGAATTATGCTGCAATAAACATGGGGTGCAGATCTCTTCAAGATAGTGATTTTATCTCCTTTGGGTAAATACCCAGTAGTGGATTGCTGGATCATATGGTAGTTCTATTTTTAATATTTTGAGGAGCCGCCATGCTGTTTTCCATAATGGCTGTACAAATTTACATTCCCACCAGCAATGCACAAGGGTTCCCTTTTCTCTACATGTGTGCCAACACTTATTATCTTTTTTTTTTTTTTCCTTGCGTTATGCGGGCCTCTCACTGTTGTGGCCTCTCCCATTTGCGGAGCACAGGCTCCGGACGCGCAGGCTCAGCGGCCATGGCTCACGGGCCCAGCCGCTCCGCGGCATGTGGGATCCTCCCGAAACGGGGCACGAACCCGCGTCCCCTGCACCGGCAGGCGGACTCCCAAGCACTGCGCCACCAGGGAAGCCCCACTTACTATCTTTTGACTTTCTGACACTAGTCATCCTAAAAGGTGTGAGGTTTTGATTTACATTTTCCTAATGATTACTGATGTTAAGCATCTTTTTATAATACTTGTTGACCATTTGTATGTCTTCCTTAGAAAAATGTCTGTTCAGTTCCTTTGCATTTTTAATTGGATTATTTGGGTTTTTAACTATTGAGTTATATGATTTCCTTATATATTTTGGAAATTAACCCCTTATTGGATATATGGTTTACAAATATTTGCTCCCATTCTATAGGTTACCTTTTCATGTTGTTGATTATTTCCTTTGCTGTGCAAAAACATTTTAGTTTGACTTAGTCAGACTAGACTTGTTTGCTTTTACTTTTGTTGCCTGTACTTTTGGTGTCAAATCCAAAAAACATCATTGACAAGACCAGTGTTTTCTTCTAAGACAGTAATACAGTTTCAGGTCTTACCTTTTTTTTTTTTTTTTTTTTTGAGTTTAAGTCTTGAATCCATTTTGAGTTGATTTTTGTGTATGATATGAGATGTGGGTCCAGTTTCATTCTTTTCCATGAGGATGTCCGGTTTTCCCAATGCCATTTATTGAAGAGGTTGTCATTTCCCCATTGGGTATTCTTGGCACCTGTGCTGAAGATTAATTGACCATATATGCATGGGTTTATTACTGGGGCTCTCTATTCTGTTCCGTTGGTTTATGTCTGTTTTTATGTCAGTACCATATTGCTTTGATTACTATAGCTTTGTAATACAGTTTGAAATTAGGAAGTGTGATGCTTCCAGCTTTGTTCTTCTTGCTCAAGATTGCTTCAGCTCTTTGGGGTCTTTTGTGGTTCTATACAAATCTTAGGATTTGTTTTCTATATCTGTAAAAAATGCTATTGGAATTTTTATATAGATTGCTTTGAATCTGAATGTCTTTCCATTTATTTGTGTCTTCTTCAATTTCTTTCATCAGTGTTCCGTAGTTTTAAGTGTACAGCTCTTTCACCTCCTCGGTTAAATTTATTCCTAAGTATTTTATTCTTTTTGGTGCTATTGTAAATGGGATTGTTTTATTAATTTCTTTTTCACATAGTTAATTGTTGGTATATAGAAACACAGCCGATTTTTGTATGTTGATTCTTTTTTTTTTTTGGCTGAGTTGGGTCTTTGTTGCTGGGCACAGGCTTTCTCTAGTTGCAGTGAGCGGGGGCTACTCTTCCTTACTGTGTGCTGGCTTCTCATTGTGGTGTCTTCTCTTGTTGTGGAGCACAGGCTCTAGGCGTGAGGGCTTCAGTAGTTGTGGCTCTCAGGCTCAGTAGTTGTGGTGCACAGGCTTCGGTGCTCCACGGCATGTGGGATCTTCCCGGACCAGGGCTCGAACCCATGTCCCCTGCATTGGCAGGCAGATTCTTTAACCAGTGTGCCACCAGGGAAGCCCTGTATGTTGATTTTGTATCCTGCAACTTTACTGGATGAATTTCTTAGTTGTTACAGTTTTTTGGTGGAGTCTTTAGAGTTTTCTATATATAAGATCACATCAACTGCAAACAAAGATAATTTTATTTCTTCCTTACCAGTTTGGATGCCTTTGTTCTTTTTCTTGTCTGATTGCTCAAGCTAGGACTTCCAGTACTATGTTGAATAGTTCCTGATCTTAGAGGAAAAAGCTTTCAGCTTCTCATCATTAAGTATGATGTTAGGTGTGAGCTTGTCATATATGGCCTTTATTATACTGAAGTACATTCCTAGTTCTGTGTCTAATTTGTTGAGAGTTTTTATCATGAAAGAATGTTCAATTCTGGTAAATGTTTTTCTCTGCATCTATTGAGATGATCATATCATTTTCATCCCTCTTCTGTTAATGTGGTGTTTCACATTTAATGGTTTGCTTATGTTGAACCATCCTTGCATCTCAGAGATAAATCCCACTTTGATCATGGTGTAGGATCCTTTTAATGTGCTTTGAATTCAGTTTGCTAGTGTTTCATTGAGGATTTTTGCATCTGTGTTCATCAGGATATTGGCCTGTAATTTGCTTTTCATGTAGTGCCCTTAACTGTCTTTGATATCAGAGTAATGATGGCCTCACAAAATGAGCTTGGAAGTGTTCCCTCCTCTTCAGTTTTTTGGAAGAGTGGGAGAAGGATTAGCGTTAACTCTTCATGAAATGTTTGGAAGAATTCACCAGGGAAGCCCCCCAGTCCTAGGCCTTTCTTTGTTGGGGGAGTTTTTTACATCACTGATTCAATCTCCGTACTCATTACTGGCCTGTTCAGATTTTTTATTTCTTCATGAGTCAATCTTGGTAGATGGTATGTTTCTAGGAATTTATCCATTTCTTCTGGGTTGTCCAGTTTGTTGTCATATAACTGTTCATAACAGTCTCATGATCTTTTGTATTTCTGTGTTATCCGTTGTAATGTCTCTCTTTTTTAATCTTATTTGAGTCTTTTTTTTTTCTTTGTGAATCTAGCTAAAGGTTTGTCAGTTTTATCTTTTCAAAAAACCAGGTCTTAGTTTTATTGATTTTTTTTTTCTGCTGTGTTTCTAGCCTTTATTGCAATTGTTTCCACTCTGATCTTTGTTATATCCTTCCTTCTGTTAACTTTGGACTTAGTTTGTTGTTCTTTTCCTAGTTCCTTGAGTTGTAAAGTTAAGTTGTTTGAGATCTTTCTTTTTTCTTCATTTTGCCGTTAAGCTATAAACTTTCCTTTTAGAGCTGCTTTTGCTTCATCCCATACTTTTTAGTATGTTGCACTTCAATTTTTGCTTGTTTCAGATAGTTTTTTTTTATTTCCCTTTTGATTTCTTCTTTGGGTCATTGGTTGTTCAGGAGTTTACTAATTTCCACATATTTGTGAATTATCTAATTATCCTCCTGTTATTGATTTCTAGTTTCATACTATTGTGGTCAGAAAAAAATACCTGATATGATTTCAGTATTTTTAAAATTGTTAAGATGTGTTTTATGACCTAACATATGCTCTGTCCTGGAGAATATTCTGTGACACATGAGGAGAATGTGTATTGTGCTGCTATTGGATAGAACGTTCTCTGTATGTCTGTTAGGTTCATTTGGTCTAAAGTATAGTTCAAGTTCAATGTTCCCGTACTGATTTTTTTTGTCTGATCCATCCATGGTTGAAAGTGGGGTAGTGAAGTCCCCTACTGTTATTTATAGTGTTGTCTGTTTTCCCTTCAGATATGTTAATATTTGCTTTCTGTATTTAAGTGTTCCACCTACCATAATTTTAAATTAATGATGAGTTTAAATTGCATTTGGAGACTCCTTTCACAATTAAATTTGTGATGTGACATTGGTCATTATTGGTGACAAACTCACAGGTAGGCTAATACTACTGTGTTGCTGCTTACATTCATACTTGAAGAAAATAGCAACTTTCAGTTAGAAGTTGGTGACCATTAAAACAAATAATTTTCCCACCCAAGTTTACTATAAATTCGTGGCCCAAGTCCAGGGTTTCCTCCATGTCCCCTCATATCTCAGACTTAGTAAAGGAGCTCCCAGGGCACCCACCCAATCTTAGGGTCCCATTCACTGTCATGTCCCACTCCAATCCCACCCTCAGAGAGTAGGATTTCAGTGTTCATTCATTCAGCAAACATTGAACACCAGCTCTGTGCCAGCCCTTGGGACAAATGGTCCCAAAGTCAAATAAGATGAGGTCCCTGCCTTTAAGCTGCTCGTCATCTACTTAAAGAAGAGCATCAGAGACACCATCCCAAAATGCAAAATGTAAACAAGCACAGGAACTTGTCTACCCTTCCTGGTAATCAGATAAACCCGGTGATGCTGAGGTTGGGTCACTCCTGGGTAGTAACACCAGCCATTACATAATCCTTTTGAAAAGACGTATGGCACTGCATAGCATTGATCACAGAAATTCCATACCCTTCTTTCTCAGCACTCTCACGCTTGCAAATTTGTACCAAGGAAATAACTCAGAACAAAGGACAGAGTGTGGAGGGCAGTGGTCCTTTCCTCTCCTTTTCCGGAGGCTGTGTCCTCCTCAGGAAGGGGCTGGGTCTTGTTCAGCTTGTGCCCCCATGCTGGCACATGTTAATACTCATAAAGCCCTGTTGGGTGAATGTTGGACCACCATACAGCTCCAGTGGACAAGAGAGGGAGCTGGTAGGAGAGGCAGTCCAAAAGCCCTCCACTGATCAAGTTCCTGTTTTCTCTTCTAGCCACCAGAACATCAGGAGAGATGGACAAGCCCCTCATCAGCCGCCACCTGGTGGGCAGTGACGGCAGCCTTGCCGAGGCCCCCAGGGAGGTTCCCAAAGTGGGCATCCTGGGCAGCGGGGACTTTGCCCGCTCCCTGGCCACACGCCTGGTGGGCTCCGGCTTCAGCGTGGTGGTGGGGAGCCGCAACCCCAAACGCACGGCTGGGCTGTTCCCCTCAGCAGCACAAGTGACTCTCCAGGAGGAGGCAGTGGGGTCCCCAGAGGTCATCTTCGTGGCTATGTTCCGGGAACACTACTCCACACTATGTGGTCTCAGTGACCAGCTGGCTGGCAAGATCCTGGTGGACGTGAGCAACCCCACACAGCAGGAGCACCTTCGGTACCATGAGTCCAATGCTGAGTACCTGGCCTCCCTCTTCCCCACCTGCACAGTGGTCAAGGCCTTCAATGTCATCTCTGCCTGGACCCTGCAAGCTGGCCCAAGGGATGGAAACAGGCAGGTAGGTGCTGGAGGAATGCCAGTCATCATAACAATAAATGTAAATGGCTAACTTCCATTGAGGGTCCTTGGTGTACCAGGCTCTTTACGTACATTATCTCAGCTCATCTCACAGCCCTGCAAAGTTCCATTTTACAGAGCAGGAAACTGAGGCTCAGAGATGTTAATGAACTTACTCACACTAGGTCCCACAGCTTGGTGAGCTGGGATTTGAACCCAGTTCATAGGAACCTGAAATCATGTTCTTTCTTCTATGGTAATTTGATTTCCAAGAAGACAGGGAGGAAAAGGTTGATGGCTTTCTTTTTACTATTTGGAGTCAAGAAGAGGAGAGATTTTGCTTTTAGGATTGGACTTAGAAAGAAGAAGGTAACACACTCATGTGCCAGGTCCTAAGGAAGCAGGCATGTCCCAAACTTTATCTCATTTATTCCAGGGGCTTCCAAAAACTGCGTGGATTTCTCAGAATAGTCAACAGCAGGTTTTTCTGAGGGTGGAAAATGGCTCCAGAAAACAGCCATTGCTGCATACTGTTGTTGGCAAGAGGAGCTCTAACCAAGACAAGGTGGTTCTTTTGTTTGTTTTTGGGGTTTTTTTTGCGGTATGCGGGCCTCTCACCACTGTGGCCTCTCCCATTGCGGAGCATAGGCTCTGGACGCGCAGGCTCAGCAGCCATGGCTTACGGGCCCAGCCACTCCGCGGCATGTGGGATCTTCCTGGACCGGGGCACGAACCCGTGTCCCCTGCATCGGCAGGCGGACTCTCAACCACTGTGCCACCAGGGAAGCCCAACAAGGTAGTTTTTAATGCCAAGAGGCAACCTGTACTTGCCTCAGGGAAGCATGCCAGGCTCCACATGTGTTTGAGAACATCCACCAATGAGTCCAGCTCAGATGCCTTCTCTGCCCAGCTCCATGCCAGGCTGTGGGGAGCCCACAGGTACCCAGCCACCCCTGACTGGAGGGCCCTCCATGCAGCCTGCATCTTGGGACTCCTACATTTGGACAGGCAAGGAACAGCGGGAGAGTGTAGGGTAGCAGGGCCTGGGAGGGAGCAGAGCTAGAGGCTGGCTGGGGAAGACTTCGAGAACAGCGTTGGCCTTTGCCCTACCTTACGTTGTCAGGCACAGGGAACAGGAAGGGCGTTCCAAGCTGAGGGGACAACCCGCAGAGGCACAGAGGTGAGGAACAGTGTTCCCAAACGATGTTCCCAAATGGGGACAATAGTACCTGCTTGCAGGCTTGTGACAAGGCTGAAGGTTCACGTGTGTAACGCCTGGCACATAGCGGGTGCTGAGTCAGTGTTGGTAGACCACCTGACCACAGCGGTGTCAGGAAGACCCATGGAGTGTTCAGGGATCAGAGGACACCAGTGGGCCTGCGTTGGGGCTCGTGGAGGGGAGCAGCGGGCTACGAGGCTGGGGCTGGCTTGTGGAAGGCCTTGTGTGTTGGCTGAGGGCTGTGAGGGGCCAGAGGACATGGTCAAAGGGGACACTTCTGGACTGAGGTATGGAGCTGCAGCCACAGCTGCACTTTCTGGGCCATATGCAAAGCCCAGTTGCTGAACGACCCCCAGGGCAGGCCACAGTCCTTTGAGGCACCTACTCCAAGGGCCCCTGGGGGCCGCCTAGTTGGGCATTTTGCTTGTGGATGCTGATGGCAATGAACTGGGCGAGATGCTCACTGTTGGATGAGCGTTGGCCGTTTTCCTCAAGTAGCGGGCGTTGCTCGGCCAGAGACTAGGAGCCCACAGGGAGCTGAGGAAAGGCCCTGGGCCGGGATTCAGGGCCCCCTTGTGCTCCAGCCGTACCCTTACCTGGCAGATCGCTGGGCCTCAGTTTCCTCAGCTGCTCCGTGAGGAGCTTGGCCAAGATGCTCTCCGAGGCCCCGCTCAACCCTCCGGGGACCCCACCTGATCCCCCCCACCTTCCTCCCCGCAGGTGCCCATCTGCAGTGACCAGCCAGAAGCCAAACGCGCCGTCTTGGAGCTGGCACAGGCCATGGGCTTCACCCCCGTGGACATGGGCTCCCTGGCCTCGGCCCGGGAGGTGGAGGCCATGCCCCTGCGCCTCCTCCCGGGCTGGAAGGTGCCTGCTCTCCTGGCCCTGGGGCTCTTCGTCTTCTTCTATACCTACAACTTCGTCCGGGATGTGCTGCAGCCCTGCCTGCAGGAGGGCAAGAACAAGTTCTACCAGCTGCCCGTGTCCGTGGTCAACACAGCGCTACCCTGCGTGGCCTATGTGCTGCTGTCGCTGGTGTACCTGCCCGGCGTGGTGGCGGCGGCCCTGCAGCTGCGCCGCGGCACCAAGTACCGCCGCTTCCCCGACTGGCTGGACCACTGGCTGCAGCACCGCAAGCAGATGGGCCTGCTCAGCTTCTTCTGCGCCGCCCTGCACGCGCTCTACAGCTTCTGCCTGCCGCTGCGCCGCTCCCACCGCTACGAGCTGGTCAACCAGGCCGTCAAACAGGTACGGTGCTCGCCTGCTTCCTGCCAATCACAGCGCCAGGGGGGCGCCCGTGGGTGCAGCCTGCCAGTTGTCACCTGCCGATCCTGCCCGGACTGGATCACGCCCACATCCTGCTGTCCGAGGTTTGGCGTGTCAGCGAACAGAACATGAAAAGGGCTCTGCCCCCAAGCCAGGGAGACTTAAAGTGCAGCTGTGAGTTAACAGAGGGTATGTAGAAGGTAGCTAAGTGCTAAGGAGGAAAATCAAGCAGGGTGGGGTGCAGTATTAGAGGGTAGGGAGGGAGGCCTGGCTGTGTGGGGTACATGTGAGCCCAGGTCGGAAGGACAGGAGGACAGGAGCTGCCTGGCACCTTTGAGGATCGGCAAGGAGGCCCTCTTGGTGGAACCAGGGGACGGGGTGGTGGAGCCTGGGGATGGGGTGGTGGGTGGGGCCTGGGAGGCCGTAGCCACACCAGAGAAGCTTTAATGGCTGAGGAAGGGCTTGGGCCTTAGACTTGAAGGCGAGGAAAGGTTTTGAGTAGAGGAGTGATGCGCCGTCTGGGGTTTTAACTGGCTCACTCTGCTGCCAGGTGGAGAACAGACAATCAAAGATCAAAGGCACATGCTGTGAAACCAGTTAGGAGGCTGTGCAGGAACCCAGATGAGAGGCCACGGAGGCTTGGAGTGGGCTGGGAGCAGCAGAGAGGCAAGAAGGTGTTGAAGGCATATTCTGAAGCCAGGGTACACAGAATTGCTGTAATAGACATGGGATTCATGAGGTGGTGGAGGACGACTCTGGGTTTTCAGCCTGAGCACCTGGAGGGATGGAGTTGCCATCCCCTGAGATGGGAAAGGTTGCAGGAGCATGTGGTTTTTTGGTTTTTTGTTTGTTTTTTTTTGTGGTATGCGGGCCTCTCACTGCTATGGCCTCTCCCGTTGCGGAGCACAGGCCCCAGATGCACAGGTTCAGCGGCCATGGCTCACGGGCCCAGCCGCTCTGCGGCATGTGGGATCTTCCTGGACCGGGACACGAACCCATGTCCCCTGCATCGGCAGGCGGACTCTCAACCACTCTGCCACCAGGGAAGCCCAGCATGTGTATTTTGAGGGGGTGGAAGGGCACAGTTATTATTCATTTAGGAAAGCCGTAGGGTGCTCTTTTGCCAGCAGGATTCCTGGGAATGGAGGGCCTTTGGGTCAAGCCAGGTGGTATCACAGGCAGCATCTCCTGGCACCTGTACCCACAGAAATAGTCCCCCCAGATGCTTCCTCCGGGTTTACAAGCTCACGGGGCCTGATTCTGAGTCCCAAGCTCAGGTCTGCAAGCAACCCTGCCTTTCTTTATTTTCCCCAACCTGCTTAATTCCACCTCTAGCCCTCAGCCTCTGGCCTGGTGCGAGAGTCCTACCCACTCCGGTATACTCAGCCACCCAATGAGACACTTCTCTTCTACCCCTGGTTCCAGCTGCAGTTTTGTTCTTGCTTGGGAAGCAGGGATCTTACTGAGGCTGGACCCTCCCCAGGTACACCCACCATGTGGCCATCCCCTCGGAGGCCTGACCACTTCCCAGAGCAGAGCCAGGAGGCAAGGCTGGGCCACTTCCTGGGAACCACAGACCTCAGCCCCTGTTCACTCTAGTTCCTGCTTCCTTGCTGGCAGCTTCTCAAATGCCCTCATCATTCCCCACCCACGGACACCTGGCACCATTCCATCTGTAGGCTTGGGCTTGCATAAGAGAAAGGAGGAACCCCAGACTTCAGGCAAAGCAGCAAGACACCTGCTGGAAATGAGAGAGGAAGGGAAAAAATAATAGTCACTAACGCTTAAAAAGCGCTTGGTGTGTTCCGGGTACCATCTAAGAGCTTTATATACCCAGTGTGAATTCATTGAACTCTTATCCCTATAAGGCATCTCCTACTACCTTTATTTTACAGATGATAAAACTGAGGCACAGAGAGTTTAAGTAACTTGGTCAAAGTCACTCAGCCAGTAAGTGGCTGAGCTGGGATCCAGATCCAGCCAGTCTCCTCCAAATCCGTGTTCATGCTCGTACTGCTTTCTACGGGGAAAACAAGTCCAAATTAACAGTTGAATAAATGATCCCAGAACTCATTCATTCGCTGAGTTCTACTCTACCGGGCCCTGAGGCCACAGGATGAAATCAGACAGTCTCGTCCCTCACCTTAGCTGGCGTGGGGTGGCGTGGAGGCCTGCAGGCCAGAGCCCTAGACTCTTGTCCTCAGCATCACTGACTGGAACAAAGAGCTTGACCTTAATAAGCAAGTCACAACCCCTCTTTGGTCATCAGGGCCCTGATGTAGATGGAGGTCTCACCCAGTGCTAATGTTTTTTGATGCTCTTTCATGATATTTTCTTACTTCTAAGAAGAGTCAGCCTGCTGGGCAGGAAGCTCTGCGTGGCTCCTGGGAGAGTGGAACAATGTTTGCTGCCCAGGAGGTGGCGGGTGTTTCAGGCAGTGGATGGGGAAGAAGGTAATGCCCCCTCCCCACTAGAGCCCAAGGCAAAACCCCTGCCGTCTCCTCCCCCTGCCCACCCTCTGACTGCCATTCTCCAAATTCTCCACCCTGCCAAGGCTCTCCTTGATATTACGTTAATGTAGTTTTGCCATGATGCAAATACCAGGGCACATTGGGGCCCGTGTGAGGTAATTTTCCCTGAGTTCCAAAGCCCTGTAAGGCTGCAGGCCCACGTGGAGGTTGCCAGGCAACCATCACTCCCACAGGACAGGATCAGAGACAGACAGCAAGGCCTGTCAGGCAAAGGGGCTGAACCTTGTTCTGCAGAGTTCTGGAGGGCAGAGCCAGGGCTGATGTAGCTTGTCAGGGAGGGGAGTGGAAATGGGGGGGAGAGATTAACAGAGCAGAGCAGCCCAGAAGAGGGGTGGGCGGCCAAAAAGTACATCAGTGGTGCCTTAGAAACACATGTCAAGATCAAAATCCGAAATCAAGATAAAGATGAAAGAAAATGTTTTACCCACACACTGTTTTCTCCGCCCTGTCACCCCAAATCTAGTCCAGGCTGTCAGAGAGGACTGTCTAAATCTCACATCTGAGTCTCCTGCCCTTGGGCCCTTCAGCTTCTAACTTGCAACCTACAGGGAAAGGAAACCCCACACGGGGATGGCAGCGTTCCATCTCTTGTTGACGAACACTGTCCTGGTCGTGCTCAAGGTGGCCAGCTTGATTAGCTCCGAACATGAGAGAATCAGTAGGGGAGTGGAGAGCTGTTTAACCTATGTCCCAGTTTGCCGTCTGTGACACTGGTTGCTGGGGAGCCCTGAGAACAGCACTGTAGTTCAGTCAGTTGGGTGAGACTCCCACAGGCTACTGAAGGTGGCCGGGAGCCAGATGCTTATGCAGGTTCCTCATCCCACCCCTTCCCAGTGTCGCGGCTGAGTGGAAATATCAGAGGAAAAAACAAGACATTTTGCAAGCGGATGTGGTGTGTGTAATCATCCAAGCTCTGACTTGTGACATTAACTGCCTGATCTTACCAAAATGCAGAAAGGAGCGACTAATGAAGTATATTTGAAGAACAAACAACTTACAACTCGGGGATGACCCACTGAGCGGCCGTCGTTAGTGCAGGGAAGGCATGAGTTAGCCTTCTCTGGGCTCAGTTACCTGGGAGACCCCCCTGCCCGCTGCAGGGTACCGTCGGCCCCGCCTTTCTCACTAGTGCTGACGTTCGCTTGGCACACAGCAAAATCACAGGATTTTAGATGTGACCTCTTCCAGCTCTGTCAGTGGAGAAGCGGAGGCCCAGAGATGGAGTTGCCCAGAGTCTCACAGGACTCATGATCAGGGAGAGAACCTGGGTCCCCAGACTCCTGGTCCTTTTGTGGCTTAAAGGCACCAGTGAGAGCCAGCCTGCCCTGAAATAGAACAGAGGCCCTCGTTTCTCTCAAATAGCAGGAAAAGTACCCAGTGGATGGCATTTTCTCAGTTTCTTTCAACATTCTCTCATAAGCTTTTCAACCATTTTTGCTCAGACCACTAGATTCATTTTTAATATTATATCTTCTAACTGCACTTGGGTTATTTTTTTTCCTGCTG